GAGTGCAGGAGCAGAGGTGGCCCCGGGCAGCTGGGGGAGGGGAGGGGGAGTGGCCAGGACACTCAGGCCTGGCTCCTTTGTGAGCTCTGACCTTGACCCTCCTCTCAGAGCCTGTGGGAGAGTGTTTCTGCTGACTCATTCCCAAGGTTCTTAGCCTGCTGTCTGCAGCTATTTAGATGCACACGGAGCATGGCTCCAGGACAGGACTCCGAGCTCCTGAGCGTCTGGATTCAGCAGATGGAGAGTGGCAGGGCTGGGCTCCGACCCGTCTGCCGTTTGCTCCACTTCAGGCCTCCCTCCTCCAGGGGCTGCGTGTTGGCCCCCTCCCCCCAGTCTTCTGTCCCCGGCGCCAGCACGTCAATAGCAGAGAGTGACGCTGAGGCCAGGAGACACTGATGGCTCTCTTTTCTCTTGATTCAGAGTCCCTCGTGGGGTCCTCTGGTTCCTGCAGTGTAAGGGCCCTATCCAATTCTGAGGTCGGGCTGGGGGAGCACGGGCTTAAGATTGACCCAGACTTGGGTTAGAGTTCTGATCTGCCATGGAATGGCTGTGTGACCTTGCACAAATCCTTTCCCTCTCTGAGCTCTAGATGTAACAGATGTAAGAGGGGAGGATCATGATGCCTGCCTCACAGGGTTACTGAGAGAATCGATAGAGGTCATTAAGCACAGCATTCCGCACGGGCTCTACACAGTGGGTGTGCCACATAAAAATCACTCTCCTCCCCACAGTGCCTGGGGGACTCGAGCTACGTTGTCAGGCTCTGGATCCTTCCTTTCCCCCCTCCGTGGGACCCTCTTACTACCCCAGTCCCATGAATGACCCTGAACTAGAGTTTGTGAACAGCTGCTGTGTGCATAGCTCTCTGCTACATCTTGGGGACACTATGACCCCGTCTTCTTTCTGTCCCCAACTGGGCTTCCTTCCAAAGTCCTGGCTGCCTGGTAAGCACTAGCTGAAGCCACTGGATGAAGGAGCAAAGCTCCTACTGCAGAATCCTGTGCCTTTGGTCCCACCTTGGTTGTCAGAGCCTCGCCCCAGCTTCCCCAGGGTCACCTGCAGGAGGTGGCTGTAGCTGTACCTCTGAGGCCTCTGACTCCTTCTGGTGCCTCCTGAAGAAGCTGGGGTTATGACCAGACAGTCTGGGGAGGTCATTGCAGGTCACCAGCCCCACCTCACCAGCCTCTTTGACTCTGGGTGATGTGTGTGCCCAGGTGGGCAAGTTAAGGAACAAGGGGATAATTATGGTGTTGAGGGGAGGGCTGCTGTTGCCTTTCCATCACAGGTGTCCACACGGGCCAGAGTATGTTTTCACCATTTGGTTGCTGGGGCCGATTTTCAAGGCCTCCCAGGTTTGTGATCCGTGTAACAGTCACCTTCCCTTGTAGACTGTGCCAGGCCCTGTGCTGAGCACTTTCTAGGTGCCAGTATGTCAGGACTCCCACTGACTGCACGAGACAGGACTGCTGTTACCCTTGCTTTACAGATGGGGAAAGACGAGGCACAGATTGGGGGCATGAGCTGCTGACTGCCACTCAGCTGTAAGGGGCCGAGTTGGGTGTGATCGCAAAGATGCCTCGGGTAGCAAAGCCAGAGCTGGTTGTTTGCCCCCTCATTGGATGAGAGGGTGTGGTGGTCAAGTGTGTGTGTCAAGTTGGCTGGGCCTGGTTGAGTGGCTGGGCAGCTGGGTGTAGTTATTCTCCATGGTGAGACTGGTAATTAACCCCATGGTGGAATCTATTGGAGCAGCTGAGTGTAGCTGCTTTGGGGTATGTGGTCTGCTTCCTGTACATGAGAAGCAACTTTGCGAATGATTTCTAGCTTACGGCATGCTTGAACCCTGCATGTAGCCGTGTCGTTGTTCAGCAGCCTGCCATGCTCTGCCGACCTTGGGACTTTCAATGAACTTGAATTAATGGCCTGCCATGTGGTTTGGTAACATTGGGACTGTGCCTTATTACTTGTCAACCTTGGGCTTGTCTTAGCAGCCAGCAGTTGAGTGAAGAAAAGCCTCTAGCTCCAGTGGGCCGGGAGCAGGAGGCAGAGCTGAAGCTCAAGGTCAAGGGGATTTCACCCAGCCCCTAGATCCTGGCACTTTGAACTCAGATTTAAAGCCTCCAAACTGCAAGAGGATAAACTCCTCTCTCTTCATGCCATCCCATTTGTGGTATTTTCTTGTCAGAGGGTGACCCCATTACTATCCCTTCACCCTCCTTGAGGTCCCCGCACCGGCACCGTCCCAGAAATCACAGAGGCTGTCAGCAGCATCCTGCTGAGAGACAGGAAACAGGGCATGGAAGCTTCAGCTTTGTCAGTAAAATGAAGCAGTTGTCCAGGTGTGACTGTTGGAGCAGCCTTTCAGGGACTAGACAAGGAGCTCTGGGTGTGAACGGTTCTTCTGCAAAACCAGGAGGGCTGGGCATCTTGTCGGTTTGTGGATTTCCATGACTGGCCTTTGTGTGTCTTAGAATGCTCAAGGCTTCAGGGAGGTCATTCCATACGGGGCTCTCTGTGTGGCGTGACCCCAGAGCCTCTGCCTTAGGGGGTATGGAGTGGCGGCAGCTCCCCTCCACCCCCTGCCATTACCCTTCTCCAAGCCACCATTGCTGCTCCCCACAATGACTACTGTAGCCGCCTCCCCCATCTCCCCGCTTGCTTAGGCCTCCTCCCTGTGAGAGCCAGTGATCAACTGATGGATTCATCCATGGGTTCCTTCACGAATTCTTGATAAATAGCTATTTATCAAGTAGCTATTGTTCTGAGCACTGGGAACAGGCGACCAGGTAGCCACGGCTCCTGTCTTTGTGGTTTATTTTCAGTGGGGAGAGAGAAACAATAAGCAGATACAGAGAGTAATGTCAGGTGACAAGTGTGCTGAAGTCAAAGCCAGGGCAGGGGACAGAGTGGTGATGGGGCTGCTGGGGAGGGCCTCTGGGGAAGTGCTGCTTGAGTCTGAACTGAATGAAGAGGGGGAGTGAGTCACAAGCGGGTGTGGCCAGAGAGCAGCAAGTGCAAAGGCCCGGAGGCAGGAATGAGCCATCTTGTGGGAGGGCAGCAGGGAGGGGCTGATCAGGTAGGCTTGATGGTGAGTTTGGAATTTCTGCCAAGTGAGATGGAAAGTCCACGTAGGCTTATGAGCTGGAGAGAAACATCATCTGATTTACGTTTCAAAGATTTTATCCTGGCTGCTGCCTGGAGAACAGTGATCAGTTACCGAAGAGAAAAGTACAGCAGGGAAGGGTTGTGGTTTTAGGTGGGGTGGTCAGGGTGGACCTCATTGTGCAGGTGCTGTTTGAGTAGAGTCCTGAAGCAGGTGAGGGAGAGTATCCTGCCTTGTGGATAGCAGAGGGGAAGAATGTCCCAGGCAAGGGAATGGCATTGTGAAGACCCTGGTGTTCTAGTGTGTCTGGAGAGGGTCTGAGTGAAGGGGATCTTCATAGAAGGCAAACTTGACCACTTCTCCCTGGCAACTTCCTGCCCCGAGGCTCTAGTTTAAGCAGCTCTGGCTCCACTCGAGTCTAGCTGCCTGAACATTCTTGGACATCCTGTCTCCATCCTGCTTCGTGCACACCCTTCCTTCTGTCTGAAACACCCATCTACTTCTTTGCCTAGGTCACCCTTGAGGCTCAGCTTTAAGCTGCACTCTCCTCCAAGAAGCCTTCCTTGATGCCCCCTGGCTGCGTTATACACTCTTCCCTGCACTTCCACAGGCACCTGTTTCCCCACTCGATGCCCCTCCGCAGAGTCTCCTCTGCGCCTTCCCCGTCAGCCCCCCTTCCGAGCCTTTGAGCTCCCCAGAGGCAGGGGCGGTGTTTCCCCATACCTGCCTGCATCTGCGGTGCCTTGTCAGTCTGGAGCTCCAGAAGCTGCTCGGTATTGATAGCTGCACGGGGGATGTGAGCCAGGTGTTGGTGGCGGAGGCCCATAGCCATGCTGGGCTCTGAGAGGTGGAGAAAAATGGCTGCCGTGGGCCCTCAAGACAGCCCACCTTCCAAAGGAGCTCTGCTTGGCCACCCAGTTGCCGTTGCCACTGAGTTGATTCTGGCTCATGGTGACCCACGTGTGTCGCAGTGAACTGTGCTCCATAGGTTTCCAGAAGTCGATCACCAGGATTTTCTTCTGAGGCATCTCTGGTGAGAGGTGGTTAGCAGCCAAGTGCTTCACCGTTTGCACCACCTTTTGTACCACCTAGGGATGGACGGTCTATCTGTCTACCTACCTGCCTACACACAGCGTATATCTGTATGTACACAGCATGCATGTGCGTGTGCATATTTGTATATTTGCTTTTCACTTTTCCCTTTAGTTATTTCAGAACCTACAAACCCAGGGTTATTTCGTTGTTGTTTTGGGCATGGGCAGTTGAATTGCTCTGCTCCACTGAATGCTTGCCACTCAGCCCCACTTGTAGCAGAAGTTGTCATTATATCATCCCTATCTCCAGAGCTGCCTTTAGGCAGCTCATTGTCATAGGGGTGTGCACTAGGCTGTTTCTGGTGAGTTGAGGAAGGGAGAGGTAGACGGTTTTGCAAAACTATGTCCTTTTAAACCTTAAACCACCATCCAGGATTAAAACCATTAAAATGAAAAAAGACACCTTCTCTGTTTGTCCCCATGTCCATCTTGCCGTTTTCCCATCCTCCCAGGATTCTCTCAGCTGGTGGGGGAGAGAGAACTCTTGGGTTTGGAGGCATTACAAGCATTGCCCTGGGCCGGGCTCCAGGGAATCCCAGTCAAGGCCAGAGGCAACCTCTCTGCTATTTCCAGTGAGTTCAGAGGAGGCCTGGAAAGTCTCAAACAGAAAGCAATTTGAAAATGATGGTCAGGAATTGACACTAATTTGAATGCATGAAGTGAATGCCAGTGGAGTGGGGTTTGCCGGGAGTCCCAGAAACTACACAGAGGGATCACAGGGCCTGCAGATGTTGGTGTCCTGGAGAGCAACCGGTTTTCCCCTCTTGGTTCATACCTGCTCTCCTTGCTGTCTTCTCCCTTTCCAGAACACTCTAGACCTGGAGGAGACTGGCGAGGCTGTCCAGGGCAGTGTCAACACCCTCCCAGATGTCTCCCTGGTAAGACCCTGCTTCACTCTCCAGTTGTGTTTTGCCCTTCTGGGTCTGCCTGGGACCCTGGGGACTGGCTTCTCTCAGTGGAAGCCATAGGGAGTGGACGGGAGACAGCCTGTGCTGTGAGCTCTCTGAGCCGGTGCACAAGTGTGTCAACTCTGTCGCCTCCAGCTGGACCTGGGACGGCTTGTTGCTGGTAATCTTAGGTGGGGCCATCAGGCCGTTTGCCATGGCCTGTTTGCTGAGTTGGTGCTGACTCTGACCTGTGATTTGAACGTTATCCTAGTAAGTGCTGAAGCACGGAGCGGAGCGTATGAAGAAAACTCCTTGACAGGCATATGATTGGGCAGAGATAGGAGTTAAATGTGACTTAATACTCTGTGCACATAGCAGTCACTTGGATAATGTCACCTGGTGCTTATGACCCAAACGGCAGAGCCTGGAGGCAGACTGCCTGGATTCAAATCCTACCTCTCCTACTTACTGTGTGACTTTGGCCAAGTTACTTTAATCTCTCTGTGCATTAGTTTCTCTGTCTATGAAAAGGGGATGATAATAGTGTATCCACCTCATACCTTTGTGCCAAGGGGTGAACTAGTGAACTTGGTAAAGGATTTGGAACAGCGTGTGGTGTAGTCAGTGTTCTTACGTGTTGGCTGTTGGCCTAGATGGCAGGGAGGTAGTAATCAGCTGCCACTCCCCCATCACCTGCTAACACGTTAACATACATTGCTCCTCAAACCCCCACCGCACTCTGCTGGACAGGCATATCTCCCCATTGTGCAGAGGTGCATCAGAGAGGTCGTGTGCCTTGCCCGAGGCCACACAGCAGCCCTGCCATGTCCTCCCTGTGCCATCTTCCTGTTCATTCTCACTCCTCCAGTCCTGCCACATCTCCTGCCTCTAGTAGCCAAAATAGTCCTCTAAAAAGAAAAGCCGTGTTAATGAGAGATCAGACTGGCAACTCCAAACATAGGAGAGGAAGCTTAGGGGTTAGTGAGTTGCAGGTAATGGTGGCGGAGTTATTTGGAAAAGGACAGCAAGAATGACAGCACAACTCAAAGGAGGTAATGGGTGTCACTGAATGACACCTGTAGAAATTGTTGTCATGGTCTCTCCTTGGCCATGTTTCATCAAAAAAGTTTTAAAGAAAAGCCAAGGAAATGCTGTGTTGGTATCCTCTGTACCTGGCCTCTTACTAAGTCTTGTTCCCAGTGACAAGCCCTGGCCAATGCCAGGAACTTCTATTCCCAAAGGGAGTGATGCTGTCCCCAGAGACACTTGCCAAGATCCCAGCGCTTATCAGCTGCCGGTGCTGGGGAGCAGTTTTCCACTTGGGCGTTGCATTATTCAGAGCCGTATGTCCACGAGCCGGTAGCGTGAGGACAGAACTCCCGCCAGGCCTGCCTCCACTTGGCAGCTCCAGCCTCCCCTCTTGCAGCTGCAATGGGCTCTGACTCTTTCTGCTCTTGCTGGATCTTTTGGCAGGATGAGGTCAAGTCCCTCTCCAAGGGGCTGTCGAGCTTCAGGCCACCGCCCCCTTCGCCACCTCTGGCCCACAGCCGTGACCGCTCGATTGCCCAGCCAAGGAAGCCAGGCAGAGAGGACTTCCAGCCCCCCTCCTCTGAGTCTTCCCACTCAGGCATCGTCTTCTCGGCTCCACAGAACCGTAGCCTGCCGGCGGGCACTGCACCCACCCCTGGGGCTTCCTCAACACAAGACTCACCCTCCTCCCCCATCTACGCCTCCATCTCCCCTGCCAACCCCGGCACCAAGAGGCCACTGGACGCCCATCTGGCCTTGGTCAACCAACACCCCATTGGTCCCTTCCCACGGGTCCAGTCACCCCCACACCTGAAAAGTCCCCCTGTAGAGGGGGCTGGGAGCTGCCTGTCACCACCCTCCCCCTCTGGCCCTCCAGACCAGACAGGCATGAACCAGCACTTTGTCATGGTGGAGGTGCATCGCCCAGACAGTGAGCCGGACGTGAACGAAGTGCGAGCGCTGCCCCAGACACGCGGTAAGTGCCCAGCAGACATGGGGCAGGGTAGGCTCGGGCCCAGCTGGGCCGTGAGCAGGTCCCTGTCCTCTCTTGGCCAGGCTATGTTTCTGTGTGGTGAGGGGCGGGGCCACGTGCTTGCTGAGGGGTCTTCTGGAGCAGAGTCGGAGCAGCCCAGGGAACGGGGCCCTGCATCCCCTACGAAGGTGGTTTTGGACATAGAGACGCAAGGTTGCATGTGATTCTGCTGTTGCTACCGTGTGACTCGGACACGCTGCTCTCCTCTCTAAGCCCGGCTTTCCCCACGGCAGAAAGATGACAGTGACTACCCTGCGAGGTTGTTGGGAGGGCTGGGGGCTCCTCCTCCATCTCCTGCAGCTCTGACTACCCTGTAGTCACCCCAACAGCACTGAGCTCACTGTAGAGAAGGGTGGCTTCTGTTTTCTCTACTTCCTCGGGCCTGGCACTGTGTAGACATAATGGAACAGTGAGTTTTGGAATCGCTGTCCTGGGCCGCTGGCAGGTCTCCTGATGTAGGGCTGCAGGGTCTGATTGCAGGAGGGACCTTCCCGACAGCTGGTGAGGCCAGCCCGAGCAGACTTAGCTGTGGAAGTCCAGCTGAGGTGGTTGGGGGTGGGGACAGAACCCACTTTGCACTTGCAGAAAGCCTGAGCCCCTCAGCAGCTCTGGATGCTTGTTGTTGTTGTTGTTGTTTTGCTGTCGAGTCGGCCCGACTCATAGCGACCCCTCCTTGGGTTTCCGAGGCAGTATCACTACAGAAGTAGGATTGCCCAACCTTCCTTCTGAGGCTCTGGATGCTAGCTGTGTGCATTTTGTTAGATGCTGCTGCCCTCTTGTGGCTAAAGCAGTCCAGTGGGTCAGCAGATGTTCACTGTGAACCTGCCAGGTGCCAGGCAGCAAGCAAAGAGTGTGACCTAGGCCAGGATGCAGGATCCCACACTCAGCGTGGTGAGAGGAGGCAGGATGCGGTAAGAGAAACCAGAGCTATTATGCACTCATCTCTGCCAGTCTCTAGACTGAGCTCTGAGCTGGACACATAGAGCCCACTGCCATCAAGTCCATTCCAACTCATAGTGAGAGAACTGCCCCCATGGGGTTTCCAAGACTGTAAATCTTTATGGAAGCAGACTACTTCATCTTTCTCCCTCAGAGCCACTGGAGGGTTTGAACCACCAAACTTTTGGTTAGCAGCTCAATGTCTTAACTTCTGCTGGACACACATGTGGCAATAAGAGCTAATAGTTACACAGCACTAACTGTGTGCCAAGCACTGTTTTTAGGGGTCTTGCCTGTATTCATTTAATCTTCACCACAGCCCTGTGAGACTCATACACAGTACTAATACCCACTGTTTTGGTTACTTCCTGCCACTCTAACAGAAGTACCACAGGTGGGTGGCTTGAACAAACAGGAGCTTATTCTCTTACAGTTTAGGAGGCTAGAAGTCCAAGTTCAAAGCACCAGGCCCTAGGGGCTAGGTGAAAGCCCCTCAGCCTTGGGCTTTAGGTCTTCTTCTTGCTCCTGGCCCACTGGACCTAGAGCTGTCTCTTTATTCAGGCAGCTGCTGGCTGCTGAGACTGACAAACCCAAGGTCCACAAATAGAAATGGCACAGTCCCAATGTTACCAAACCACATGGCAGGCCACTAATTCAAGTCCAGAGACAGACTGGCAGGAAACAAGGCAGGCTGATGAATGAAGACTCAGCTACATGTAGGATCCAAGCATGCCAAAAAGCACAGAGACCTTTCTCAACACTTTTTTTTAAATGGATTTTATTGAAATATAATTTATGTACAGCGAAATACACAAAACTAAAGTGACATGGGTCAATGCTTTTCTTTTCTTTTTTCTTTTTTTTTTTTGGTAGTGTTCCCTCCCCTCCCCTCCCACCCCTGGAAACCAACAAAGTTTCCCTCCATATATAAACCTTTCCTTGACCCTCCACAACAACGAACTAATACTATATTTGTCCTTCTGTGATTGACTTATTTCACTTAGCATAATGTCCTCCAAGTTCATCCATATTATGCGATGTTTTGGAGACTCTACATTATTCTTTAGTGCTGCATAGCATTCCATTATGTGTATGTGCCATAGTTTGGTCATCCACTCTTCCGCTGATGTGCAACATAGGTTGTTTCCAACTTTTCGCTGTTGTAAATAGTGCTGTGATGAACATGAGCATGCATGTATCCGTTCCTGTCCTGGCTCTCACTTCTCTAGGATACATACCTAGGAGTGGGATCGTTGGGTCAAATGGTATCTCTATTTCCAGCTTTCTAAGGAATCACCATATTGCTTTCCACAGTGGTTATGTCATTTCACAGTCCTACCAACAGTATATGAGAGTCCCAATCTCTCCACATCCCCACCAGCATTTGTTATTTCCTGTCTTATTGAACTTTGTCATCAGGGGTGAAATGGTATATCTCATTGTTGTTTTGATTTACATCTCTCTGATGGCCAGTGATTGTGAGCATCTCTTCATGTATTAGCTGGCCACCTGAATGTCCTCCTTGGTGAAGTGTCTATTCATGTGTTCTGCCCATTTTTCAATTGGATTGTTAATTCCTTTGGTGTTGAGGTGTTGAAGTTTTCCATCAATCTTAGAGATAAGTCCCTTGTCAAATATGTAATTATCAGCAAATATTAATTTGTTGCTGTCATTTTTGTCATGTGCTTTTTCATTGTATTGATTTCTTTGTTCCATATAATTTTCTATGCTGAGCTCGTTTTGTTTATGAATCGTGTTATCACTTCCTTCATTGCTGTTGTTTTAGTATTTGCCGAATATTTATGCTGGTCCTCTTTTTTGATGTGAAGGTTTTTCATTTTTCTTTGAGGTTACCCTGTGATTTATAGTTTTCTTCCCAAGTTTAGAACAGTCTGTTCTATCTTGTAGTTGTCTTGACTTCCATCTGGAAGTTCTGTTAACGACACAGTTTTTTTCCCCTCTTTTTGGTTTGTAGTTGTCCTCATTTGTCAATTGGTATCTCTGGTTCCCTGTTTACTATCTTGTAGGCTTATGTGCTTCGGATACTTCCATAGCTGGGTTGGTTTCTGGGTTATATCATCATGTGTGTTAATGGTTAGTTGTTGGCTGTTGTTGCTTCTCTGTCCAAAGGGCTCCCTTTAGCATCTCTTGAACGGTTGGGCTGGTTTTAACAAATTCCCTTAATTTCTGCTTATCTGGAAATGTCCTAATTTCATCATCATTTGTGAGGGACAATTTTGCTGGGTACATATTCTTGGTTGGGAATTTTTCTCTGGGAATTTTTCTCTTTCATTGTTTTATATATACCATCCCACTGTCTTCCTGCCTGCATGGTTTCTGTCAAGAAATCCGAGCTTAGTCTTATTGGTTGCCCTTTGTAGGTAACTTTTTGTTTTTCCTGTGCTGCTCTCATGATTCTATCTTTGTCTTTGGTTTTGTTGAGTTTGATGATGATATGTCTTGGTGATTTTCTTTTGGGGTCTATCCTGTTTGGAATTCATTGGACTTCCTGAATGGATATATTCTCATCTTTCATCATATCAGGGAAGTTCTCCTCCAACAAATCTTGGACAATTTTCTCAGTGGTTTTATTATTCTCTTCCTTTTCTGGAATTCTAATGACATGTAGGTTATCCCTTTTGATGGTATCCCACATGAACCTTAGGCTTTCTTCATTTTGTTTTGATCTTTTCTGATTGATCCCTTTCCAAAGAAGTATTCCGGTATTTGTCTCCAATCTCATTAATTCTGCCTTCCATTGCATCAATTCTACTCCTTTGCCCTTTCAATGTGTTATCTATTTCTGACAATTTAGTATTAATCTTCTGGATTTCTATCTGTAGATTTAGAATCATTTCTAATTTTTCATTTATTTTGTCATTTTGTTCTTGTATTTTCTTCCAAAATTCTTCTAGGATTTTGTCTGTGTTTTCCTTGGTCTGTCTCTCAATCCTTTGAAGATACTAAATATAATTCTTTTAAATTCCTTATCAGGGAGTTCCAATGCTGTGTCTTCCTCAGGGATGAGTTTTCGGTCTGTATCCTGGTCCCTTGTTTCTCCTGCTTTATCTTGCTTCTTTGTGTGGACTGTGATGCTCTGTTGTCTCCGTGGCATTGTGAGGTTTTTGTGCGTATATTTAATTGGTGATTGTATGTTGGAGTGACTTGCCCACGATTTTCGTTTTCTTTGTTTTGTTTGTATGTTATCTATACAGGCAGGGTACTGTGCTGTGCTCCTCTATTCACTAGTTGACAGCACTGAACACACTCACCGCCTGTCTCCTTTACTGTTGTCAGCCTCTCGTATGTCCTTGCGGGCCTTGGCAAACAGAGCCTGTGTTCTTAGGCCCCTGGCATCTGAATGAGAAGGCTATCACTTTAAAATCCAAAATGGTTGCCACTTGTAAACATTGAAAATGGCTTCACCCTCAGTCACTTTAAATATCCAAAATGGCTACCACTTGTAAACAATCAAAATGGCTGTGCCCTCCATACAGCAGAAAGTCCACAGCTCAGGTTGTGTCCCTCCTTGCTGTTTGCCTTCCTAGTCATAGGCCACCAGCACAGTCATCCCTGTAGCCCTTGGTGACTGGGGCTGATCTTTAGGTCAGTTCTCAGGTACCAATACCACTTGGAAATATTGAGGCTGTTGGTTCCATCAGAGTAGCTGACAGTCCACAGCTCCAACCGTCTCTGTACTTACTGTTTTCATTCAGGTTTTTCCACTAGTTGGTGCCTGATCAACTTCTGTATAGTTCCTTTCAAAGCTCAAGGCCCCAGGATTCTCTTCTATATCTTTGTCAATTGTTTTTTCTTCTCTTTGTTGAAGAGAGTCTGTGTCGCTTGTCTGCCTATTCCTCCATCTTACCAGAAGTCTCCTTTTCTCAACACTTCTTATATACTGGAAGCAGACCACATCCCTAAGGCAGCTACTAAGCTGCTCCAGTAGATTCCACCATGGAGTTGATAACCAGGCTCATCATGGGGAATACTACAATCCAGCTGCCCAGCTTCTCAACCAGGCCCAGCCAAGTTGACACACAACTACCACACCCACCTTGCTCACTTTGCTTTTAACAGCCATGTAACAGCCCTGTGAAACTGGCAGTATTACCACCCCCCATTTAATAGATGAAGAAATCGAGGCCCAGGAAGTTGTGGAGCCAGGCAGCCCAGCCCAAGTGCTCTTGACTGCATCCCTTTATACATCATGTCTGTTCTTCTTTGGGATAATCCCCTTGGATAGGCATCACTGCTCCTGTGTTAGAGAGAACACAGAGGCTCAGAGAGGCTATGTAACTTACCCAGGGCTGTCCAGCTAGAAATGCAGGATTCAAACCCAATCTGCCAGACTCCAGAATGCTTCTTCTTAACCTGGTGTCTCAGTCTCGGGCCAGGTGGTTACACCCAGGTGCACTAGAGAGCACGTGCCTACCCCTAAGCTCTAGATCATTCATGGATACAGACCAGGGTTGGCAGGCTTTACATTTTTTTCCTTGAGAAGCTTAGGAATTTAATTCTCATAAGAAATCTAATTTGAATGTGTTGGTGCATCATTAAAATTTCACAGCCTCATGTGAGTGAGAAAAAAATAAAATGGCTGGGTTTGATGTCTGACATCTGTTTTAATCACTGTGCTAGTGGCTGAGGACTGGGCCATCAAGGAAGACATCCTAGAAGTGGTGCCCACTGGGGCAGGCTGGATTGGAATGGCAGGGCCTCTGGAGGAGGAGAGGATGGCAGGGAGTCTCCCTGCCCCATGGTCCCTTCATTCCTCTCGCTGTCTCTGTCTACAGACTCCCCTCCAGCCTTGTAGCTATCAGTGCCATCACCTCCTCCAGGAAGCCCTCTCTGACCCAGCTGAGTAAACCATTGTTGTCCTCCTGTCCCTCACTCCCAGCAGCCTCCACACTCTCTCAGCTGTCTGATAGTGGGCAGACCCTCAGTGAAGACAGTGGAGTGGACGCTGGTGAGGCGGAGGCCAGAGCGCCAGGCCGAGGCAGACAGACAGTGTCCACCAAGAGCAGGAGCAGCAAGGAGCTGCCTCGGAACGAGAGGACCACAGAGGGGGCCACCAAGCCGGTGAGCGAGGGGGTGGGTAGAAGGGGCTGAGGGACAAGAACCGGGAGGCCCATGGGACCAGATTTCAGCTTGGCCTGTGACCACCAGGGGAGACGGTGAACCCCCCTTACTGGAGGGATTTGGGTCTTGGAAAGAACACTGAATTAGGAGTTAGAAGGTCCAGTTTAAGTTCTAGCTTTGCCACTGACCGCGGCTGACTAGGCACTGAGAGGTTGATTCTGATAATCATTAAGGTCCCTTCAGTTCTCTCAGGGCATTGTGGCTGAGCCAGTCTTTGGAGTCAGGTAGGTGTGAATATGAGTCCTAGTGCCACCACCAGGCCAGTGTAGGCAAGCCCCTAACCTCCTGAGCCTTAGGGGGTTTTTATCCTTGGGGTCATGGAGCGGAGAAGGAGCCCCAGTGGTGCAACAGGTGAAGCTCAGCTGCTAACCAAAAGGTTGGTGGTTCACACCCACCCAAGGGCTTTGAGGGAGAAATACTTGGATTCTGCTCTCATAGAGATTACTGCCTAGAAAGCCCCACGGGACAGTTCAGCTCTGTCACATGGCATCACTATGAGTCAGAAATCAATTTGCCAGCACCTAATCACCACCACCAACAGAGAGCTGAAGACACCATGCCCAGCTCAGGGCCTGGCACATACTAGGGTCCCAACACAGGGCTGGGATGGTCTCAGCCAGTGGCCTCCTACTCACACCCACAGCCTGGACTCCTGGAGCCTACGTCCACTCTAGTCCGCATGAAGAAGAGTGCAGCTACCCTGGGCATCGCCATCGAGGGTGGTGCCAACACCCGCCAGCCCCTGCCAAGGATCGTCACAATTCAGGTGAGTATTAGTGGGCCCTGCTCAGTCATCTCTCCCTAGCCCTGGGGATCTCATTCAGCATCCCTAGGACTGTGCCACTCCCAAAGATGACACAGCACCCAAGGGTGGACCCAGGCTCGTATAACATTTGCTTTTGCCAAGCCTCAGTTTTCCTAATCAGGGCATTGGGTACCTAGATGCTAGATGCCTGATCAGCAGTGTGGGGCTTGACTCCATGGTTAGCTGAGGCCATGCTGTCTGTCCCCAGCCACCCATGTGCCCTCTGCTCTGTGTCTCCCCCATGCAGCGAGGTGGCTCAGCCCACAACTGCGGGCAGCTCAAGGTGGGCCATGTGATTCTGGAAGTGAATGGGCTGACGCTTCGGGGCAAAGAACATCGGGAGGCCGCCCGCATCATCGCCGAGGCCTTCAAAACCAAGGAGCATGACTACATTGACTTTCTGGTCACTGAGTTCAATGTGATGCTCTAGGGGCTGAGGCCCGAGTGCCTCCACCACTGCCTGGCCTTCGGCCTTGATCCTTTCTCCCTCCTGGCACTGTCAGCCTGCCTGAGGGGCTTAGGCGACATGGCCAGGGTGGCAGGAAGACATCCCTCCACTCCACCACGGCCCACTGGACCAGCCAGGGGAAGAAGAGAGCTGGGCAAGGCAAACACAAGGTCACGGCAGGACCTTGTGCCATGCCTGGTTCACAGTAGGTGCTCAGTCCACATGTGGGTTGTGAGAGGGGGAGCAAGGAAGAGGAGAGGCAAAATGCCTGTGTCTTGGCATGTCCAGCGGAGTCCGGCTGGGGCCTGTTTGTGATGGATGGAGGGTGCCTCTGCCCCAGCCAGCTGAGACCCAGTCCACTCCAAGACCTGAGCCTTTGTCTGGAGTGAGGTCACAGTGAGACTTCATGGACTGAGCCCCCAGCCCTGGGGGCCATCTCGCAGGACCTTTAGTGCCACAAATACGCCTCGAGCACCTCCCCGCTCACACCCCCATTCCTGGCTCCTTAGATCCCCTGTGGTATTCATTATTTATTTCTTTCCCCATGTCCCTGAGGGCTCCAGAGCCCTGTGTTTCCCTCAAACCCTCCGCCTATCCCAGAGGCCTTGCAGGTGATCAGCACCGTCAGTGTATTTATATACAGAGCTTACGGCTTTACTTTTTCAATAAAGAAATGGAAACACGGTTAGGTGTGCTGTGTGGTGGAAGTGCTGCTGTGCAAGGGGGCTGGGCCTTGGGGTGTGCTGGGGGAGGGGTGGGCAGGGCAGGGGGAGGCACTCAGTGCCACCCATCACCACCCTTTACCCAGGCCCCCATGCTTTGTTTGGGGTACACAGTGGGGTATGCAGGGACACTGAAGTCACCCCTACATCTCAGAGCACCTTGAAGGTTTGAGGGTGAAACTTAATCTATAGATAATACTGTCGCACAGGTATGTGATGGGGCAGAAGGCATCGTGTACAGACTATTTTAAAACACAGAGAAGTGACCTGCTTTAGGTCAGTACCCTAGAAGCTGACTCTGAGGTTAGGAGAGCATCTAGGGAGAGGGGAGAGCAGGACAGGAAGGAGGGGAAGCCCAGCAAGGGTGGGACTTGAGGCAGAGGGAGCTTGGGGGGGATGGTGAAGGTGTGTGTGTGTGTGTGTGTGTGTGTGTGTGGCTGGAGTGTAATGTAGGCCTCAGAGTTGTTTCTGCTGGAGGCAAGGGGTGGGGCTGGGGTTTCATTCACCTGTAAGTCTTTGGACAAGGCCTGGGGAAGGAGGAGCCGTACATGTTGCATCACTCCCTGCTGTCGACCTGTGCAGACAAAGCTGTTTCCGTTACCAGAGGCAGTTCTCTGAGGAAGAGCAATTGTGCAAGGTGTTAGAAGCAAAAGCACATAGTGGTGGGAAGGGCGGGTGAGGTGGCAAAAAGTGGTCTGCTACGTAGTCTCAGTGGCAGACCTCAGTACCCGTTTTCTTCAGTGCTCAGCTTTTCTTAGGGAAAATGAGTTTCAAAAGCCCTGCTTTGGCTAGTCCTATGCCCAGGAGACTGCCAGAGGTGGGCTGGGTTGCAGCTGATTCCAGACTTGCCCTAGGTCCTGCTCTCCCAGGCCGGGCCAGGTGACTTGAGGTCAGAGCCATGGATTCCTCTGGACCTCTGAGGCAGCCCATATCCCTAAAGGCCCCAGTCCCTCCCAGGGGCTTTGTCTGCCTGCCACTGTGTCCCTCTGTCCACAGTCCTCTGCAGGGAATAACCCCGTCCTGGATGTAGGAGGAGTTAGTCAAGGCCTCAGACCCTGGGGTCAGACTCCAGTTCAAATCCTGTGTGGTCTTGGGCAAGTGAGTTCACCTCTCTGAGCCCCAAATTACTCATCTGTAAAATGGGGACATTGTTCCTTGTGTCTGCTGGAGATTGAGATGACGGATGTGGGCTACAGCCTTGGCGTAGAGCCAGTTGTCAGGGAGATGAGTGCAGTTGTGAGGAGGGTCAATAAAGAAAAGTCTTCTAGTGGTGAAACTGCAGCATCTTTTTCTAACCCCTGTGCCTCTTGCATCTCCCAAATGCAAGGGTTTCCCTCTCTCTGGCTCATGGTGTGAATTCTAGGCCAGTCACTGACATTCTCTGTGACCCATGTGATGGTCATGACAGCCCCTGGCTTGAAGCAGCCATCTCCCCACTTGATTCACGCCCCTTATCCCCTAGATCGGGGGGCAGAGAGCCCCAGCAGGAGCTGCCCTTGCAGCCCTCAATGTTTGTACTCTTTTGAATGAGTAGGACAAGAATGGATTTTCAGAACTGTTGCTTCTGGAATTCCCAGGCTTGGCTCCCAGGGCTGCAGCCCATTGGGTGTGAGGGTCCCCCTCCCTGTGGAATTTTTAAGAAATAGTGTCCTTGTGGAATTTTAAGCCTAAAAAAAATCCTTTACAAGTGGGCTTAGAAAGGTCAA